ACAGAGGTACCAGTTCTCAGGTGTTAGTCAAAAGTCATCTCCATCAAAAATGTAACTTAGAGTCTTCAAAAGGCAACYGAGGTACATACTGCATTTCCCCCATTTTAGTGAAGATGCGCACCCCTCATGTGGCGGGGTTGTAAATCAGAAGAGAGAGTGCAGAAAAGGATGGATGTGAACGTTGACTCCTAGAAGGCTCATTCTCCCCGTTTGGATTGAAATTTGAAGTGACTCATTCTCAACAGTAGGTGGCGCTTCACAGGGTTTTCCTTGTTAATTGCATTGGCTATAGGAAATAACAGCTTTCTGCCATCCATTAAAAAATTAACACAAAAACCTTAAGATTCATGTGATACTTTGGTAGTTTTGCCTCAAAACTGTCATCTTTACAGAGGATCAAAACTGAGATTCTTGGAGATTATAAAAAAGAGCAATAAATATGCTTTTTGAAAATGTGCAGGAGCACCATCTGTGTACTACTTTTAAATTTATTTTCAACATTTTAAATGTTATGCAGTCACTTTTAAAATACACATTTGATTTTTTTTTACTTTTAATGGTCACAGTTTACAAATTTTGTAAAAGTTTTTCTTTTTTTATTTACAATGACTTTTATCTTATCTGGAATCAAAATGTTCGCAGTGAAAAGTCGCAGGTAAATGTTAAGGTGGTCAAGACCCATCAGGTGGCTTCATCTGAAATTATCAGTAGACGGCTGCTCCCAACTCCTGTCACATGTGCGCGCGCGAGCACACACACACACACACACACACACACACACACACACAGGACAACACATTTAAGCCCAAGAGGTCTCAGGCTTAGAAAAACAAAAATGAAGTCAATTTAACTTGAAAACACGATAAGGCAAGGAGGCCCTTTCTCCCGGGTGGGTGGGGGGACTGAGAGTTGTCCTCACGGACAGTGTGCTTCAGGACAATGGTCACTAATCATTAAGAAGATCCTTAAAGCCTCCGAGGCACTTGAGCAGGTTTGGTCCCTCAGTAGCACTGGACTGGGGAAATAGTTAGGATCACYAACTTCAGGTAATTGGTGAGAAAACAGCTCAGAGACCCCGAGTGGGGGTCCCCTAGCGAGGAGGTGCATTGACTGGCCCTGTTCTGGCACTCCTGTTGCCACCTATGTACTGCCCGTGAGCTGACCTGACGATCCCCAATACCCAGCGAGTCTTGCCAACCCTCCCATCTTCAGTACGGGTACCCTCGATGATTATAGACCGCAGAACGATTTTATAAATGGTATTACTTTAAATACCCCAAGAAAACCACGAATTATGGAAAACTCTTAAGAGTAAAAAGTCTCTTTGGGTGAGACTTGTTTGTTTTCTTTTTTCACTATTAGGTATTCTTAAAGAAGGGCYTGCTGAGATTGTCTCATCAATATCCTTTTTCTTTTTTTCATAAACAAAGGATAAACTGTAGTTTTTGGCCTAGGTTATTTCCATAGGAAATACAGATGAAAATGCAAGCCCCGGGAGATGTTTTAATGAAAACATGACTGTATTTCTTTGCTGTTCTGTCTTGGGGGGCAGTCACAGGTTTCAATTAACCCGGGTTCTTGTGTGCCGTTCTCTAAGGATGGGACCCAGTTTCGGAAGTGAGAGATCAGTAACTTGCTGACCAGAATCAAAGATCCGCCGTGATCCTTGTAAGGGCCATTCCACCCTCAGCTCAGATGCCAGACCCGCCGGACAGATGCCTAGTGTCCTTTTCTTACAAACATGAAGACCAAGTCCAGGCCCAGAAGGGCATCTGAACATCACTGGAGGGAAAGAGGTTGGTGCGGAGGTGGCCTCCGGACGCTGTGGAAGCCTGACGCACAGTGGGGATCAGGCTGTGCCTGTCAGGAGGAAGGGCACCCTTCCGAGCCCCTCCACGTGCTCTGCTCCCTGCACTGACGGCTCGGGATCGCAGGGAAACAGAATCCCGGTTTGCTGTGGAAGGACGGAGCTGACAGAAGGCRCGAGCCTTCAGGGGGACCCAGCCAGGGAGTCGCTGAGTTGCCCACTTGCAGACTGAAACCAGCCCCGGGAGCAGCACCCAGAGAGCCCCGGGGACATGCTCCTGAAGACCAGGGGAATGTTTATGGAAAATTCACAGAATAGGTTACTCTATTTCTGTCAACTGCAAGGATTGTTTACAAAAGGAAACTGAAAATAACAGGGCCCGGCCTTGCCAGCTTTTCCTGGGGAGTACAGTGATATAGTGACTATCGCCCTAAAAGGAAAGTAAAGGAAATTCGGTCCCCATTTCTCATTCTTCATTGATTCACGGGTTGTTGGGTGCTAATGCCTCAACTTCTGTGACTACTGTTTGTGTTTCTCAGTAACAAAAATGTTATAGCTGAGTAATAACACAACGAATCTTACTAGCAATCATGTAAGTTATATGACTGAGACTTCACAGAAGCATTGGATTAGTAAGGGAGGAGTGTTCAAAAGGGTGGGATACATTAGAGTTGCTGCTGTTTTTATTTTGGAAAATAAAATGAACAAATGAATAAGGAGGGCTGGGGATGTGGCTCAAGCAGTAGCACGCTCGCCTGGCATGTGTGCGGCCCGGGTTCGACTCTCAGCACCACATACAAACAAAGATGTTGTGTCTGCCAATAACTAAAAAATAAATATTAAAAAATTCTCTCTTTCTCTCTCTCTCTCTCTCTCTCTCCCCTCTCTCTCTCTCCCCTCTCTCTATCTTTAAAAAAAAAAATGAATAAGGAAAGCCTTTTAGAATCCTACTGTTTATTTATTTATTTATTTTTAATTTCTAGCAGTTGCAAGGAGATACCAGGCCTTCCCCCCCCCCACCTTTTACTCAAAAGTCGAATGAGAAGAGATCGCTAACTTTGAGACCAGGAAGAACAAKTCACAGATGCCATTCCACTCCATTTAGACATATTTGGACATAGTGAACTAAAAATTATTACAAGATTTCCCTATTGGTATTTACATTGCTTTTCCTTTCCAGAAAAATCTCATATATTTGATATCCATTTTTATCAAGGTATGCTGTAATTAAACTCACAAGATAAAGAACAACATCTATTTTAAACTAAAAATGTTGATTTCTATGAAGGCATGTAATCATAGGCAATCAAAAGGAGAATCTGGTTTCATTAAATGTCTTCTTGATCCAAAGAGGCAAGGCTATTCTTATATTTTTTTATTAATTTAATATTTATTTAATATTAATTTAATATTTAGAGAAAAACATTGATGTATTTTGGAGCCAAGTGACGCAAAGGGTCATTGATCAATTTAATACAGCATATTGGATTTCTAAATAGAACATGACCCACAGAAACACTGTTGTAGATAAAATCTCATGGATTTTATTCATTATTATAATTTGAAAATACTCAATCACATGAAAATTGTTTTAATGCTGGGGCTGGGTTGTGGCTCAGTGGTAGAGCACTTGCCTGGCATGTGTGAGGCCCTGGRTTCAATCTTCAGCACCGCATATGCATAAATAAATAAAATAAAAGATCCATTTACAACTAAAAAATGTTTTCCAAAAATTGTTTTAATGCATYTCTGGTTGATATAGTTTGAAGTGTACTGTAATAGAAATCTTTCAAATATATTTTTGAAGGATTGATGGAATTAGAATGTTTGGTGCTCCCTCTGCTGATTTTATCATATTGGTGAACTCACCCTCTCCTCCTGTTCACACATCCAGAGTTTATAAACTTGTTGCTCACTATGGTGAGAGGTGAGAAGACAATTTCAAAGAACCAAATAAGATACTCATGTGATGTTCTATTTCTGATTTGACTCTTCAAATCCATTCACAAGAATTCCCCAAATCAGATGAAATCTATGAGAAAGGCAAAATATATACAATAAAATCAATTTTATCTTTTAGACTATTTTAGTACCATTCAGAGCATTAAGGGTGCCTATGTAGCTCATGGGCTCATTCTTCTTCTATTATTTTCTAGTGATTTTTACTGGTGTCCTCAGCAATGCCCTGGGTTCCTTGGAAGCAATTCTAAACATGACTTTAATTTTCRAAAGTGTTCAAGCATTTGAAAGTTCAGTTGGGTGGGGGTGGAGTTTCAACAGAATCACTTGCTATTTTAAAGGATATTTTWAAAAATTACTTTGAACTGGAAATATCCATACTGAAATCTACATATGATTTAGATTCTTGAATTTTGTTTTTGTTTGCCTTCCAAATGGACTTTGTTATTCCTGATACATGCTACTTGGGAAAATATTTCTTTTTACTTTGTTTTAGGGATTTAAAAGCTTTTATCTTTAAAAGTTTTTAAAACCTTAAATTTAAAATCTTAAATTTCATCTACAGTTATCTTTACTGCAGCATGAACTTCATGGTTTTGATAATATCCAAAATCCCAGTTTGTAAAAAAGCAAAAAGCAAATTTCCTACATACATATTTTTTTTCAGTGACATATCATATGTTAAGAATTATTAAATYTGTGAATTGTTTCCATTTTAATTAATTGCCTTTTAACTGATTTTTAAAATCAGTTAAAAATAGGTTTTTTTCTCAAAATTATACAAATATATTACAAAACAGAAAGAACTTGGGATTTTTGTTTTCTTGTGATTGACTTTTGGGAAATATTGTATCACAATCCAAGATAGAGCAGTTATTTTAAAACTCACAACAGATTTCCCCCCTGGTGAACATATGGTTATGGTATATTTGCCAAAAGGAGTACTTCTTTCTGAAACTTCAGATTTCACTTACTCTCAACTTTGATTTAGACAGGAATTGTGAGGTTAAATTATTATTTTTGAAATATCAATACACATTTTCCCTCTAGTTGTTCCAAAGGGATGGCTTGACATACAGCGTTTTTCATTTTTAAAAAAAAATTCTTATTTTACAATTATTTACTAATTCAACTTCAAGGGTGGAATTCACCAATCCTTTTAAATTAGCGATGGGTAACTAGAGATTGATAGCTAAATTTGAATGTGTTCCTTCACGACAAATTTATTTGCAGGATTTTTTAGAGGCAATCCCCAATTTTTAGAGGATGTTTATTACATGAGTCTATAAGTTCACGTTTCCAAGTTGGTAAACACAAACCAAGAGCCAACGGAAACGGGAGGAAATCCTGTTCCAGGTTTTCGGGCAGCTGGTGTGATTGACACATGATATCACTGGGGGCGTGTCTTGGAGTGGAGGTGGAGGTGGCCGCGAGGAGCTGAAATTCTGCGGAGCAGGAGTGGGATCGCTCTGTAAGGCACACAGTGGTTTGCAGAGCGATAGCAGCGGACCCAGCTCCCTGCCCCGGATAAGGAACAGCTGCAGTCGCTGTACATGAGCGTGAAAAGCAATTTCCAATCTTTGCATTAGGTAAGAACTGTTTCCTTCCTTTCCTTCGTAGACATTTTAGGAAAGATAAGGTGAGAAATGTCGGTTTTTGCAAGGAAGTGAACATTTCTTTGAACTTGCTCTAGAGCTGAGATTACTGGCTGCATTTCAAAACACCGGCAGCGTTCCCACTACGGAACGCTCTTAAAAGTCTACCGCTAAAAGAAAAAGCAGGGTCCCTTTCACTTCCCCCTTAACCGAACTGCAACAAGTTCAACCTCTGGGACTGTCGCTGTGTGAAACAGGCCGTTTGTGCCGAAGAGGGGCTGGACCCAACGTGGGTCTGTTTAGGCACTGTTGGCGACCGAGTCCGAGCGAAGCCGGGTTCAAACCTGCGTTCCTTTCTGCGTGCCGAGACCCTGCGCGCACAGGCGCTGCTTGACGTTGGTTGAACTCCTGGGCATTCCCAGGGGCAAAAGCACTTCAGCAAAACGTGCACGGCTGCATGTTACCCAGGCTCGCTGCTGACACGCGACTGCGCCGGCCTGTCAATCACCGGGCGCGGGCACATGGCTGGGCTGCGGGCGCGGGCGAGCTGGCCGGCGGCGGGCGCGCRGCGCGTCCCAGGGCCCGGAGAGAAGGGAGACTGACGTGTTTCTCTGTGATCATCTGTGGCAGGCGTTTCGCCGTGGAACCGGAGGGGCGGAGGACTGGAAGTGAGCGCTGCCCAGGAGAGGCTGACCTGCGGGGACCGCGGCTCCCGGGACGCGGCGCCCACTGCCCAGCGTGCGGGATCGGCGGAGCGCCTCGGCCTGCGCGGGGACCCGGACGACGTCCGCCCACCTCGCCCTGAGAAGGACCCCGAACTTCGCTCCTTTCGCCCCCCAGAGGCGGGTGGGAGCCCCTCCCCCACCRGCCTCGGCCCGCCGAGCCCGCGACGTGGATCCACTCGTCCGGAGCCGCCCCGGCCTGCCTGCCCCGCGGGGAGCGGAGGGAGYCGCGCGGCGCCCGGCGCGCACGCCTCCCCGCCGCGCGCCAGCTCGCGTTCCCGAGGCTCGGAGAGCGCGAGCGAAGGGACTTCCTCAGCTGGTTCCCGGACGGGGCTGCAGGAGAGGAGCCCCAGGTGGATGCTGCTGAGCCGCGGGGCGCACGCGAGCCGGGAGAGGTCGCGGGAGAGCCGCGCGCGGCGGCCGGAAGGGGGCCGCGGGGGGCGCTCTGCGGGGCGGCGGGGGCGGGCCGACGCACCGCGGYTCGGGCGATGCCCCCGCGTCCTCCCCGCCGCGGTTGATGCCGCGCCGCCCGCCGCCCGCACCGGGACCCGGGCCGGGCCGCACGGCGAGGGCCCCCGCCGCCGCTCCGCCCTGGGTGAGTGTGCGGCAGGTGCGGGACGGGACGGGCCCGGGCGGGCGGAGGGCCGTGCCCGCAGCGGGCGCCGCGCGTGTCGGGACGGCCCGGAGCGCGCCGCGGCCTYGGGCGGCCCGGGTGCTGCGCGTGGCGCGGGCGCGGCGGGAGAGGGCGCTGCCACTTTAAAAGCCGCGGCCGCCTCGCGAGGCGGGGGCCTCGCCCCCCTGGAGAGCTTGTTTTCATTCATAACTTTTTCCTCTCCGTCCTCCGCGGCGACTATTTATTCGCGCTGCCGGCGGAGGAGCGCAGAGGGCGCGCGCCCGRGAAGCGGGTCTGGGGACGGGGGACGCGGCCGGCGCTGCGGAGCCGTGGGAAGCCAGCGCCGTGGGCAGTGCGAGGAGGTACGCGGTCCCCGGTCCGAAAGCGCCTCCCGCGCCCCGGCCCTGCCCTCCGGTGCCCTTGGCCCGCGGCGTGGGCTCGGCCCCGGCCCCAGCCCCGGGGACCTGCGCTGGGGTGTGGGTCGCGCCGCGCGGGGCCGCCAGCGGGGCCTTGCGGGCAGTCGGTTCTTAAAGCGCCCCTTGCCTGGGGAGGGCCCGGCCTCGGCGCGTCTAATGGGCCGGAGTAAGAGCCGATCTTAACAGCCCTTAAGGACTGRAGCAGACCCCGCGTGGTGACTGTTTCTCGCCGCGTGCAGGAAGGTAAAAGTAGTGGGCGCTGGAGAAGTGAACCTGGAGGAGAGTCCAGGACGCTCAGTGCAGGCGCTTGGTTCCGCTTTATTCCTTAAGATGGGGTTTGGGGCATAGGGCAGTAGTGGCAACGGGCATTTTCCCCTTTCAGTCTTGATATGGATTGCATCTGTAGACTTTACAGAGAATATGTGTGAAATATAGTTTGCCATTGATTGGAAATCGGAACGTTTTTATATCTGGTGGTTTGTTTTATGAAGATTACATTACAACTTAGAAATATGTCACTATGAGCCTGGAAACCCAAATGCCTATTTTGATCAGGATATTAGTATACTTATTACAAGAAGCACAATGACTCAGAGTTGGCAGTGCTTTTGAAGATCAAGGTCTGTCATATAAACACATATTTTTAAATTAAAGGAAATTCGGGTAATATTTTAATTTCTCAGGATTTCCCCACCCTGCTTGAAACCCTGACGCTTGTGCATAAAAGTTATCTTCTTATGTGACTGAGCTCTTGTTCAAGCTTTTAAAGAAGTCGGATGTGAATACTCTGTTACAATAGTGACAGAATGGTGTGTGTGGGTTAGTGACTATTAACACACCAAGAACTCTTGTGCTTCTTATCCTTTATTGTGCACCTCACAGATCAGTAATGAGGTAGCCTTTGACTTCTGATTTCTACTAAACATGACCGCTTATTCCGATATTCCATTTTAGTTTGGAATAGCTTGAGCTTTTTGGAAAATGCTTTCCTTAATTTCCTTTAATCTAAAGCATGTAATAGCATTCAGCCAACAAAAGGCCTGGGCACCCATGTCATTCTTGATTTTTAAGATGTAGTAGACATTTCCTTTATGCAAACCACCAGTGAACTGACACTCAGCTTTCTCAAGACGAGAGCTCTCCCAGAGCTTGTGCCCAGATTTCTTTACCAAGGCAAATTTCATTTTAATTTTTGTTGGATGCACAAACAGGAAGACATTACTTCCTCTTGATTCTGCTTTTTTAAAGCTGGAAAAACATCTGATATTTTATGGCATGGGGTCTCTTGCTTATATTCCCCTATGATGTGTCCATAGCCTCTCAGAATTGGATGCTGGTCAGGACCCCAGCATTATTGTGTAAGGAGACCATTCCCAGGTGTTTTAGGCACTTTGTGACTTGACAGGACCTCCCTCCCCCAACAAACGCTTCCTGTCGTTTATTTTCTCTTCTTCCTTAATTTTCCGTTTCTTTTCTAGGACTTCAGATGCATGCCAGGTTTCCGCTGACTGCTACAATCCAAGGTCCCCACACATGGAGCCCCCAAATCAGCATGGCAGTGGAATTTCGTTAGTTGTGACCCAGCAGCCTTCTTTGGATGGCCGTCAGAGGACAGACAATGAGAGAGAGATTCCGCCTGCTGCTATTTTGTCCCTTGACCAGATCAAGGCCATCAGAGGCAGCAATGAGTACACAGAAGGGCCTTCCGTGGTGAAGAGACCTGCTCCTCGGACAGCACCCAGACCAGAAAAGCAGGAGAGGACGCACGAAGTCATACCAGTCAATGTGAATAGTGGCTACGACCAGAGACCCTCCAGCCACCTGGGCCCCKCGGGATCCTCGAGCAGTGCCCGGGGCCCCCTTCTGAGCAGGTCCACCAGCACTGGCAGTGCAGCCAGCTCCGGCAGCAGCAGCAGCAGCAGCGCCTCCTCGGAGCAGGGGCTGTTGGGACGCTCCCCGCCAACCAGGCCTGGCCCTGCTCAGAGGTCCGAGAGGGCGGTGCGGACCCAGCCCAAACAACTGGCTGTGGATGACCTGAAGGGTCCCTCAAAAGAGGGCCYGGCCCAGCACAAGTTCATCTGCGAGCGGTGCCTGAAGTGCAAGTGCGGGGAGTGCACGGCGCCCCGGACCCTGCCCTCCTGCCTGGCCTGCAACCGGCAGTGCCTGTGCTCCGCCGAGAGCATGGTGGAGTACGGGACCTGCATGTGCCTGGTCAAGGGCCTCTTCTACCACTGCTCCAACGACGACGAGGGGGATTCCTGCTCAGACCACCCGTGCTCCTGCTCACAGTCACACTGCTGCTCCAGGTACCTGTGCATGGGAGCCATGTCGCTGTTCCTGCCCTGCCTGCTCTGCTACCCTCCGGCCAAGGGGTGCCTGAAGCTCTGCCGGGGGTGTTACGACTGGGTGCACCGCCCGGGGTGCAGGTGCAAGCACTCCAACACTGTCTACTGTAGGCTGGACAGCTGCACCTCCCGGGCCCAGGGCAAGCCCTCCTGATCTRTGGAGGGGCTTGCACCTCCTGGACCTTGGCTCTCCAGCTGTGGCTGTAGAGGAAGATCCTGTCGGAGGCTGAGCTTCTTTTCTTGGAGTTTTCCCTGCTTCCTGCCTTCTGCTCCCCATCCCAAGGTCTGACTCCTGGAGTTTACGTTTCTGTGGTGGGTGATCTTCAGTGAGAGGAGAGGGAGACTGCGCGGACTCCCACCGATGGCCAGAGCCGAGGGCCGAGGGCTTCTGGGTAGCCTTTTTCTTCTACAAGTGGCCCTCCAGAGTGGTGCCCCACACACCCCCGGCTGCAGTGGCCCAGGCTGTCTTTGACTGGCTTCGGTGGGAGCCAGGAAATTGGTTTGGAGGAGGCAGCTGTCAGGCTGCTTGAAGAAGCCCCGTCTGCAGTCTGTCTGCAGTTAGGGGCATCGTCCTAGCAGGGGACCGTGAGTAGAAGGGAGGAGCCAGTTCTGCCATGACGTGAAAGTTCCCTTGAACCACTGCCCCTCTGCTCCTTGGTTCCCTCCCTCGGTCGGGCGCTGCCTCACGGAGGTGTCTTGTGGCAGGTGTTTCCTCCTTTCTGTGGTTTTGGGTTTGCTCCACGGCTTGGAGATCCTGTACCTGCCCCATTCCTGCTGCTCCTTCGGGGTTGCTTCTTTTGGCCCCTTGGGTAGTTAGCAGCTGGATGATTCTAATCTTTTCTGTGTTTTCATTGCCTTAACCACAAACTGTGGTGCTTTTTGTATATTTTATGTATAAATCACAAAGTTGAATTCTGACTATTTTTAAGACAAAAGTTTGTTAAACTTTTTTATTGTAAAGAATATTTATTATGCGAATCTCTATTATTTTATGATATTTATTGCAAAAGACTGTTGAAATATACTCCTGTCTGAATATAACAAAATATCAATACTTAATGGAAAAAATAAAGAGACACGAAGAAAGTACATATGTTAACTACAATGCAGAAAATATATTAATTAATAACTGTCTCTTGCTGCCTTCATTCATTAGCCTATACTGTTACRGTGATTTTATTATTTGCTTTGATTCTTTTTCACATATATTCAATTTACTTCTTTCCCTTGAGGTATTGAATCTGGATGCAGGTGACCTCAAATTATAAGCTTGATGTTTCCTGCAAAGTACATCAGTCAAAATCTTATAATGCAAGTTCTGTTTCAGCGAGTGCACAAGTGAATCACTTTATAAATTTTTTTTTTTTTTTTGTAATATTAGTAGTACCTCCCTACTTTGGCTATTTTGTAAGTGTGAAGTTTTGTGTTGTCACAGTTTCTTGAGACGGGGCACTTCTGTGAGTTTTTAAGTTTATCTTAGATGTCTTGGGTTATTCAGAAATTCGTCAGCAAGACTTAAGGAATCTAGTTCGGTGGACACCCTAGGATCCTGGTACTGTCACTTTACAAAGCACTTAGAAGTTGGAGAGCACCAAAGGAATGATTCACACGGTCAGATGTCTTGAAAACTTTTCTGTTTCCTTTAATAGGTCTTTAATGTGACCTGTTCAGATTGCACTTTATGTGTYATGGAGTAAGAAATCTGGGGCTGAAACTCCACATAGATAAAGTAAATATTCTATGCCTTCTGGTTTTTAGTCTGATTAAAACCACTGGCACCCGACTAGCCTGCCAGGAGTCCACGCTGAGCCTCCTGGGTCTGATGAAATTCTTGATCACGTGAGTCCCCACTCTCAGTCCCACCCTCTCCCTGTGGCTAAACGATATCGTCCATGATGGTCTGCATTTGAGAATTAGATGCTGACACAATCTGAACCCACGTGACCAAAGCCCTTGTCAGGTGGTGTCTGGTGGTCACTGACGGACGTGCTGCTGCTTAGGAGTGTGCTCCACCGACAGGCCTTGGCTTTGMGAGTACAGACAGTGTAGTTGGTAGAAACTTGCCTTCAAGCTTCTCCATCGAGCCACTGACCCTATCAGTTGGTAGTGTGACATCTATTAAATATTTTCTCTGTGCTGCAAGCAGAACATTTCAGAATGAACACTCGTGTGGCAGAGCTGCTTTGCCATCTCTGCTGTTTCAGAATGTGGGCTTAGTTTTCCATGCATGTCCTGTGATGTCATCATGGTCTCAGTGCTCACAGTATTTCCTTCAGATTTGGCTCCTAATGAGGTATATAAACAGCCTCCCTCAAAATGCAGTGTGGTTTGGGTGCTATTATTCAGACATGGGTGTAGTTAGGAGCTGGTGTAAGAGCTGTCTGTCTCCGTCCTAACCAGGCTAAGAGCGGCACGTGGTGTGACCTCAGAGAGGGAGTTGTGCTGCGGGCTGCGGCTTCTGGCTGGGCGAGCTCATGGGGTTCAGAGGTGGTCGCTGCCCCGGGGCTCGGTGTGGACTCCTGGCAGGCTAGTCGGGTGCCAGAGCATAAACGCCTGACTCCAGACTCCTCCTTGCTTAGTCCTGGGGTGTCGGGCGTGTCCCGAGAGCCGAGTCCTGGGCTCTGAACCTGCTGCGGGCCATTGCTCGAGAATGCTCAGGCTTTGAGAGGGCCAGGCTCTCTGGCCGTGCCTCTGCCCCCACTGGGGCTGCTAGATGAAGAGTGACCCAGGGAGCATCTGGGTGGCCTTCTTACTCCAGTTGCTCCTTCGAAGCTCCTGCCGCCCACCCGACAGTGATGTTAAGTGGTGCTATTCCAGTGCGTTTCCCTACTACTGGTGACTTTCCATTTTGAAGAAGCCTTACTTCTGTAGATAATGTAATTGTGAATAAGACCGGAACAGTATTTCTCTAGCTGGGTAGTTGCCAGATARGAGTTTATAAAATGTGACCTAGCAGGAAATTGGAATGTGACTCAGTGGACGTGTTTGTTTTGTGACGTGCTGAGATGAATCTTTAAATAGAATCTGTTACMATTATCTCATGGTTTTCAAAATGCAAATCATACAACATTCCAGTTACTACCTAAAGACAAAACCCCAAAATGGTGGTCTTTAAAGTGAAAACTTTACCCTCAAATTGATAATGAACCAAACTAAGAGGATTAATTTCCAGAGGATTGGTAGAATTGAAATGACTTCCTCTTCCTAAATCTTTCCTTTTTTAATAGAGTCCTACATTTCATGGCTGATGTAATGCATAGCTTTTTTACACACAAATACAATCCCCTTTTGAAGAGTATTGAAATATTGAATCCAACAGAAAAGAGTGGGCAGCCATTCTCTTCCGCCCTCCGAGAGCTGGGTGTGGTCAGTGCGGTGCCTGGCCCAGCGGGCTCCAGGCCCAGCTCTGAAAACAAATTCGACCCAATCCTGGGGGTTTTGTCTTTGTTTTTTCTAATTGGAAGAGTCAGGTGTTTGAAAACAAAACTCAGAATTCTCTGGCCCACTTGATAGAAGCCTGTTTCCCTCACTATTCCACTGGGCAGATGATCCCACAGCCGCGTGCTCGCCCGACAGGTGCTGGCTCTGCTCACTTTCACTGAGAATGCGCCGAGCCATCTCGCTGCACTTATCCGGGGCCTTTAGGTGTGCTGTCCTCTGTGTTGCAGAATCTGGGGCTAGAGACACCTCGGAGGCTGTGTATGAAAGCAGATAGGTCATCCATTCACAAGCCTGGGGGAAAATCACAGGGGAGGGGGCTGGTATCTTTTCAATACTTTCAAAAAGTTTTTTGGGTGATTTTATCAGGCAATTTTTGGAATGGATTCATTCAGTCCGATACCTGCCTTTGGAGAATGTGAAACAAAGGCACGGCCCGGGCCTTTCTCCCTCCCCGCAGCCAGCAGGCCTCTGCTCAGGGCTCAGCAGGCTCTTCAGCAGGAGACCTCTGAGAGTTGGTAATGTTTTGGCCAAAATCCAGACGATGGGGTGTTGCTGTACATGGTTCGCACCGAGGTATCCCAAACTAGCCGAAATGACTTCATTGCTATGATCATCTTTACTGGTGAAAAGCGACACTGGGTTTGGGGCTGAGCCCGCGGGCTTCCTCGGTGCAGGCTTGGAGGGGAGGGAGGGAGCGCACTGATCGGAGCCTTCTGTGAAAGGGGCCGTAGCCTGGCCTCCRACTTGAGACCTCTTGTGACTGGTTCTCGCCACCTTTCGGACTGCTTTAGGGGGACGGTGATTAGAAATCACTATTGAGTCTTCATTATTGAAAAGACTGATGTGATCTGTCAGATAACATCACCCTGGATACATCCCAGGGGAGCCTAGAACTGTTGTGAACCCGGCACTTAAGCAAACCATTCTGGAAATGCCATTCTCCAGCAGTCTGAGAGCTTATTGTGATGAAATAGTGATAGAATCATGATTTTGCCTAGAAAGAAACTTAGAGATCTTCTAATCTAGTCTTTTCATTTCAAATTCAAAGAGGTTACTTGCCTAAAGTCATGATCTAGTTGCCAAAATAAAGTGAACTTTATTAAACAAACCCACAAACAACTTGCTCCACACACACGTGGTAAATGGCCAGAAGGAAAGAGGGGCTGGCTTGGGTGAATGAAGGGTTTTGGTGGTTTTTGAGGGGCAGAGGGATGGGGGTACTGGGGTTTGAACCCAGGGGCACTTTGTCACTGAGCTACACCCCCCACCCTTTTGTGTGTGTGTGGTGCTGAGGCTCGAACCCAGGGCCTTATCATGTGCAGCAAGCACTTCACCAACTGRGCCCCCTCCCCTTTTTTAAACATCAGAAACAGGGCCTTGCGAAGTTACTCAGGCTGGCCTCCGACTTGCCACCCTCCCCTCAGCCTCCCGAGTCACCGGGTTACAGGTGTGCACCACCGTGCCCAGCGGGGTTGAACAATTGTCAGGTTAATTTACAAGTGTGACAGTGGAACAAATCTGTTAAGGGTGAGTTGATGGCAGTCCACGAGAGAAAGAAAAACTTGGTATGCATTTGCCTGGAATTCCTGAGCCCTGAGTCCAATCCCTAGCAYACCAAAAATAAAAATAAAGAAGGAAAGAAAGAAAGATAACCAGGGGTACTTTGGCTGCACGGTTCCCAGCCTGAGCTGTGCTGCACATTAAGATCAGCTGAGGGTAGGGATGTCCCCAAGAGCTCAGGCAGCTCAGCCAGGGCCTCTGGTGACTTGTGCAGCAAATGGCGGCTTCTGGGGGTGAACCCTTGAAGCATGGCACGGTGTGCAGACGTCCTGGAGTCCAAGGGAGGCTGGTGATGACCTGTGGCCAGGCTGAGGTGCAGGGGTCTGCAGTGTGGGCCCCATAGGGAAGGAGCGGGACTCAGAGCAGGGCAGTGGGAGGATCTCAGGGGCCGTGGGAGGACCTTTGGCCGTCCACATGGAGAGGCAGGAGTCTGGGATCTCCAGCTGGAGTTCAAGGTGGAAATCAGCCATCACAGTCAAAGCTGCGGGGTCGCCCAGCTAAACTGGGGGGTGGAGTTGGGGTGAGATGTAGCGACCACCCAGGCCAGGAGTGGGGACAGGCAGTTAGGCTCTTCCCCTAGAATCCTGAGGTGACGGGAAGGGGTCAGAGGCAGGAGTTTCAGATAGGAAGCCCCAGAGCCTCGAGAGGCAAGGGCAGGGCCAGCAGAGAGGGTGGCTGCAGGAGTCCGTCTGGAGGGAGGAGGAAGACCCGGAGCAGCACTGATCTRCAGAGGTCCTTCACCCACAGCAGGAAGACCACGAGGACCCACGGCACCTGGTGGACATGCGCCCCACTGGGGTAAGTAGAGGGTGGTCCAGAGGTGGTTAGAGTGCCCGATGCTGGTTTGAGAACAGGACTGGAACTATGGGAGGGCCTGGGAACTGTGGGAGCTGGCCTGGGGCCCAGCGGACACTCTGGGAGCAGGCAGCCACCAGTCAGGGAAGGCTTTGCGGAGAAGGCCAGAAAGGTGCATCRGGCCTCCCAGGAGCGCACAGCGTCTCTGGAAGCGCCCGGGAGGGAGTGGGGATGCCTGTGGTATGCTRGGGAAATCGCTAGCGATTTCAACTGCTGGAGCCTGTGTCACTGTGGGAGGACAGGAGTGC